TACTCCCAATCCATATCAGCTTCCATAAGCAAACTTTTTTCTGAATTCAAACACTTCTTCTGACAATCGTCAAGACTCAAAAGCATTTGTTACTAAAAGCATTTGTTAGATGGTATAATTACACATTTTATTTTTTATTTTTGATTGATTGATTGATTGATTGATTTATCTTTTTTGCGCTCCATACACCTTTTCTGCGGTTACTCACAAAGTTGCAAGTTATCACATTCTCCGCATTCAAATACGGGTAAATTTGAGATTGCTGTGAATTCTGAGCTATATCAAATTATAATGGAAAATACTTTCACGACTTTCTTCCAACGCAGGATTTGTAAAACCAAACGGGAAAAAATGTAGTTTGTCCTCTGTTCTATACATGCTCCAATGGTTACGTCCATTCATGACAGTTGTTAACAATGAAAATACCAGCATCACCAGTGAAATAAACAAGGTAAATTAAGCTAAAGATGAATAGTTGAACATTCTTAATTTTTTTATTCATCCGTCCGTCCGTCCGTCCGTCCGTCCATCCTGTCCGTCCGTCCGTCCGTCCGTCCATTTTTGTTTTGTTTTTTTGGACAGCGCTATGCTATTCGTGGAACAAGAGATGCACGCGTCGCTTCTGTTCAGAAATCCTTATTGACATCGCTCGGCCTCCAAGGGAATGAAAACCTCGACCCTAACGAAGTGCTGGAGAAGGTTCTGGAAAATACGTTAAAGCACTCTCGGGTAATCCAAAAAGTTGTCAGCTAGAACTAATGTGTATACTAAACCYTTTAGAACATAATCAACTATTACGATTTTTTGTAGGATACTGATTGCAAAGCGTTTTGTGGAAAAAAAGTAATTGTGACCTCGCTAGATAGCTCAGAGTCAGGAGAAATTATATTTGACCTTAAGGAGGACGAAACTTTAACCTGTATCCTTAAACAAAAAACAAAAAAACAACAACAACAACAAAAATGATCACCGTAAAAGTATCTTAAAAATTTAGCCTTAACTCGCTATAGCCAAATTCATGATTAATGTAGCCGCTAGCACGAGAGCGAGGGATCGTATTTCTATTTGAGACCTCGTGAAGGAAATGCTAAAGGAGTCTGATCCGGTGGAGTTCGAAGACTGGGAAGATGCGTGGAAGTCAAAATACTCTGAAGCATCTCAAGGTAAGACGATGGACAAAAGTGATGAATTATAGTTACGAATAATGTCCAATACCAAGTAGTATATTTCTAACGCAAATGCGTTATATYTCATTGTTGCGGATACAAAGTCCCTGATATACAAGCTCGGCAAAAAGAAAATAATAATATAGCTCTTAATCACTTAAATCTCCAAAAACACAATGTTGCAACTTTGGAACGAGCCTTAAAAGTGGCATCCAATGACACTAATTGTTCAGTGCTCTATCTATTTTTTTTATTTCTTTATTTTTTCATTCTACAGACGGCAGCAATCAGGCCCCCAGTGCAAAGACTTAACAAAAATGGTCAGAATCGCCAGATGTTCTTATCATAGCTTTGCAGAGAAATAGTGAAGATCAAGGGGTTAAGGTGGGGTTAAAATTAGTTAATTACTGTTATTTGTTCTTAAAAAGACTTTTTTTATCTCCTTATTTATTTTCACGAGGCACACAACATATAATGTATTAGATTGCAGAAGAAGTAATTAACTTCAAATACCTCGTATGAAGGTAGTGACCGGAAAACATTCCTCTATCATTATTTTTTTACTGTTTTTTTTAAATACACTGTCAGCCTTCAAACCTCATTTAGCTTAACTTATTGGTAACTGAATCTTTAGTCATTTCGCTTTTTTCGTTACAGAACAATAAAGTGGTAGACATCCCTAAAACCATCCCTGAAGCCGATCTTTTGCGTCCAGAGAATGAAACCTTACRTGGCATTGAGGATTACCAAATTAGTTATTTCTTGTTTGGCATTATCATTCATTCTGAACAAAGAGACCACGTATATTCGATTGTGAAGAACATCYAAACTGAAAACAAATGGTATATATGACAACAAATGAAGTCTGTTCAATACTCTACTCATGCATGATCAGTCGTTACCTTAAAATCATAAAACAAATCGGTGTGCTAAGTATCTGTGTTTCATAACATGGTTTAGGACTGTCTACGATGGACTGCTGGTGAAGAGCTTTGAAATGACCGAGAGCCTTTTGGAAAGCCTTTCTGGAGGTGGAAGAAACGACTCTTTTGGTATCCTTTTCAGATMTTACTGTACGAATTAGCATATTTAAAAAAATTTGGCCATGACCATGTTCCTGTTTGCACCAATATAAATCTTGGAAACGCTATTSTTAATAAAGAAAATATAAATATTTAAAAGTTCAATTAATACTATCTGGCGGTTTTCGATATATGCACTCACTCAGTCCAAAAACAGGGGTGTTAGTTAAAGAAATTGCTTTTAAAAACCAATAGAAGGAGAAACTCTGTTGAAATTCCAAAATGGCACCTGCTGGCAATCGTTTTGTTACGATTTCCGATGAGGAAATAGAAAAAATGAAAGAAAAATGCTATTCCTATAATGATAATAATAATAATAATGATAATGATAATGATAATGATAATGAT